GGGGGGGGGGGGGGGGGGAAAGCAGTGGATAGCTGTGGTGGAGCAAAGAAATTAGATGAGGAGCTTCTTAGACCTGAACAAAACTGAGGATTTGAGAGGAGAAAATGGAGACAATGAAGAAGTCCATATGATACCTTGCATCAAAGGAAGTCAGAACAGAAAGAGGAGAGGGCTTGGGGAGTGAGTCAAAGATGGTGAAGATGCAGCCAGGAATATGTGTAGGAGTCAATGAAGCCTGAAAGTAGATTTTTATCTAGGAAGATAAGAAGCAGGAAAGAGTATGCCATGGGGACAGTAAGCTTACTCCTGGAAAACTGGGTATTGCAGTGACAGCAAGAATGGGAATGAGGAAGGAGCAAATACAACTTCTCTTGGAGATCTGGCAAAGAGATGAAGTTGAGGTTACAGGAGGAGCAAGGAGACTGAGAATGGGGGAAGGTGAACAAACTAATAGGACTGGCCAGTGGCAATAGGGCTAACTTTTGTCATAAGAAAATCACGTCATTGCAGAAGCAACAAATTGCTGCATTTGAAAACAAGATGGGCATCAGATACGCCAGAAGCAGGCACAGCCCATACAGTCCCTTGCTTGCAAAGGCCTTTACAACTCTTGAAGCAATGGTTGCATATGGCGAGGTGACAACACTTTGTCTCCCCACCCTCTCTGGAGGAAGCAAGAAGAGCAAAGCTCCAGGGTTTTCATTTCAGTTTCCCTGTCCACATTCCCTGGTTGCAGCAACAGCAAATCTTACCCTACTCTTTTTCCATTTTTGTTCCCTCTTCCCAGCAGTTCAGTGGGGCTTTGGTGGAGCATTAGTCATCTTGTGGAGAAATGGGAATGACTTAAACATTTGGGATGGGGGAAATGAGGGAAAGCTCTGGGCCCTAGAGGAAGGCAGGGCTGGGCGTGGACAAGGGCGAAGGGGAAGATGGGGAGAGGTTTTAATTCAGATTTGCTTTCTAAATGTAAGGATGACAGGCCTTACTGTGTCATAGAAGGCAAAAAGAGTGTGAAGGGTGAACAAGATGCAGTAGAGTTGCTTTGAGGAGAGGTGATGCTGTGGTGCGGAGGAGAGAGCTGAGCTAATGACAGAGGGTAAAAAATGTCCTCAAGTGATGCTTATACAGCCTTTTTGCTTCTCTCCATCCTATGGTGAGGGAGATTATAACAGTTGAACCACACCACTCAGTGGAATCTGGCAGGTAAGAGGGACTTCCCAGTAGCTCAGGAGTTCTTAATGGTGTATCCAACCCCATCCCAAGGGATATGGTCTTCCCTCTGCACAGAAGAGGCAGAAAGGCAAAAGCAAATGAGGGCATGTTTAATATCTGCAAAATGCTGTTGGAATTCCCTGAGGTGGAAGTGTGAAGTGCCCCAGGTGGCCTTCAGAAAGGAAGAGCAGTGTTTTGTGTGGACCTTGAGAGAGAAAGAGGCTTTGGTTTCAGTGGGGAAATGGGGCAGCTGCAGCTTTAAGAACAAATAGCTTTGTGTGCAGTTCTCCTTGCTCGCATCTGCATTTTGGTGTATAATTTGAACATTTCACAAGAGTGCTTTCAGATGGTCCTGTGAATGTTTTATGAGCCGTTAAGAAGTGGAGTGTGTATAAATGAAAGTGTGCAGCCACCACTGCCTGGGGAGGGCACGGGTGCCTATTTTGGGCTGACAGAGTGATGTTCAACAACCATCTTGTATTCAGGAGACCAGCAGCTGCTCATCACTGATGCTTAACTGCTTAGCCACCACATCTCTCCTATGAACGTTGCTCCCTGGTTTAATGCAGCTTTGTTCTCATTTCTGCCACTGGCTGCATGCAGATGTGCACAAAAGTAGCACCTATGCAGGCATGGAAAGGATTGATATGAGGGTGAGAGCCTCTGCATTGTCGATACATGTATCTGAGCCTATCTCCTGGAGTGATGGTCACTGGAAAAGAATGGGCTCCTTTAGATCATAACCCATCTGACTTATTTTACACGTCTTTAGAAGGGTATGAATTATGGCCTGCTGGGACTGCTTTCCCCTTGTGAACTAGGAGGGGAGCTGTCAGTGACTTGCTCTGATTTAGATGTAGATGTCTGATTTTGGTTAGCATTCATCAGCTGAGACCTTTCAACAGAGACTTGCTAGACAACTCACACACCATGCAGTCAGGGATGTGTATGTTCTGCACAGCTACCTGTGAGCTGCAAGGAGGTACTAGTACTTTTCCGTAGGTGGTTCAGTAGTGTAAAACTTAATGACTTTGCCACAGAATTAATGGAAAGAAGTATCACAAAACAGCTATAAGGAACAGGGAACCACTTACATCGTCTGGATGCAGAATGCAGAAATTGCTTTGCTTTCACAGATTTTCATTACTTGTTCCAGTCTGCCTTGTCTTTTTTTCTATGTCTGCCTCTGGTCGTTTATCTTTCTGTCTCCTTTTGTCAAATTTTTCAGCTCCTGAGACAGGAGAGGCTTCCCTGAAGCTGCTGCCACTAGGAAAAATGTTTTCTGTCTCTTCAGCACCTCCTTAAATGGAAGCAGAAAATATCTTTTTCTCCCTTAACTTCTCTCCCCCTTTGCTGTGTGTTTTCCTTTGCTGTAACCAAGGAATGTACATTACAACTTATTGTAGGGAATGTTTGGGTGGAAGACATTCTGCCAAACAAGATGAAGCTGATGATGAAGCTTGGAGAAGGATACTTGTTAACAATCCCTCCTGCCCCCATTCCCAACCTCATTTTGGAGGGATGTTAAACTCTAGCTGATAGTGAGAGTTAGAGGCCACATTTTGGAGGAATGTTAAACTGTAGCTGATAGAAGTGAGAGCCATGCCTTGCAGTCTTTGAAAACCACTTGTACAGCAGCCATCCACAATGGAGCATGCTTGGCCAGGCTTTGGTTTTTGTTGGATGGTAGCATTGAACAAAAGTGGGTTTTCTCCTTTGTATGAGGTGATGTGCACAAGCACAATGCAAGGATTGCATTTCCTTGGAAGCACCTAATGCACCATTTTCTTTCAGCAATCATGTACTTAGCTGTTTCTTTCCCCTCTGCCTCTTTTCTTGCCAATTACAGGTACTACATGAACCCCTGATCGATGAGGATCCTGTTTTCATTGCCACATGCACAGAGAGGGAGCTGCGCAAGAGGAAAAAGAGGAAATTCAGTCTCTGGGTTCGGCAGTGCTCATCCACTGGTTTCATCTGCCAGGCAGGTTTTACCTTTTTAGATGTCTTGATTCAGTTCCAGCAGGCCCTTGAATGTATTGCAGGACTAAAGGTAACAGTCACTTCTTTTTGTTGCCTTGCCGGGGGCTAGAATCTGAATACAGCAGGCCTCTGACTCCTGCAGATGCTAGATCCGATGGACAGTGGCAACAAGTTGCTGATGCTCTGGTTGCTGTATGGTTTAACTGCCGGTCTCTAATACTGTCCATCTGGCTGCTGGCCCTAAGCTAGTTAAATTAAAATGGAGTTAAAAGGTTTGTCTGCTTGTACATCCTAAGTTTATCTAAATTCACAGGACCTAGACATTTAGATAAACTTAGGATATACAAGCAGATAAACCTTTTATCTAAATGTCTAGGTACTGTGAATTCTGACATTTTTAGTGAGTCAGCTTCTCTCTCTAACACTGCATCTGTGAGAGCCAGCGGTGTCCAATAGACTAAATCAATATATGGTATCAAGATGTCCATTTTTCTGTGAGAAACATGTTAGCACAGTTTCCTATTACATCTCTTCACACCTCTACTTCTCTAACAAAGAAATAAAATCTGATGTGGCTTCAAGGTGAGAAATGCACTTGAGTGGGAGATGTGTTTAAAGGGTTTTGTTTTAGTGTTGTAAAGCATTGGGGACAACTTTAAATTCTCAGATTCCCCCATTGCTGATAAATTTAGAGAGCTCTTGAAAAATCCAACTGTTCATTTTGATATCTAGACATGAGGGGACAGATATTTTCTGGTATTTCTTTTCCCCAAGAACTTATGTGAAAATGGTGCCCTGCATGTTCCAGAGCAGCAGTTTGGGGGTGCAGGTTAGATGTGCACACTGCCTGCTCAGGCTGAACGCATGTCAGAACTCCAGGGCCTGTGAATTTGCTGCAGTTGAACATTTGTTCACAGTAAAATTTGATCTGTGAATCACCACGACTGTTTGAGTAGCTGTGCAAGAGAAGAGGCTTGCTGGGAAAAAGGGGTTTGCATTTTCAGCAGCACTATTCACTCTAAGAAGAAAATTGGAATCATACATCTTCCACCCAGGTTTTAAAGCATTGTTTTGTCCAATACAAAACAGATTCACCTTGTAAAGCATCCTTGGAAGTTTCTGCTCTCAAGGCATTTAGAAAGTCTTATGCTACACAGAGGCAGTGTCCTTCATCTCCAAGGTCAACTCCACCAGTCCCACATGCAGCTTATTACTGAAACATAATGGGTACTGTGACCACGAAGTTTGCTGATCTCTCTTGCAGTGCTCCCCCAGCCAACTGCCGCCAAACTAATGTCTTCAGACATGCCAGAGGTTTCAGATTCTGAGCTGTAATTATGTTGCACCTCCCGTCCTGTCCATTGAGAGAGTGAATTAATGGAATGTCAAATTAAACAGAATAGGTGCTCAGCACCACCCTAATCCTCCTGCTCTCTTAATGAATTAGATACTCACGCTTCACTTGCATCTGTATGACATCCAGGATCATCTTACCAGCCACCTTCTATTTTCATTCCATGACTTGGCTGAAATTATCATCATGCTGAAATGACTGGGTAAGAGGAACCTTAGGAAAGGGTGAAAAAGAATATATAGGAACATGAACATTCATGCTAAAATGGAAAAACCTAGTTTGAGAGGATGGGGCATCTTCAACTATGGCATGCTTGAAATGGTGCATTCAGTTATGTGTTACACTTACAAGGGATCTTGCAGAATCCAAAGCACTTATTTGGTGGTTGTTTGTTTTTTTTCCTGTATTAAAACAGATGTGTTTTTTTTTCCCTTTGTTTAACGTATGGAGAGAATTAATCTAAACAAGAAGAAAATCCAATGGTTTCCCCCTTCATGTGCACACCTTCCCCTCCATCTCTTGTGATACTGCCATCATGAAGGAAAGACTTGTTGCCTGATAGTTAAGGACTACCACCTGTCTGCTGCCAGCAAAACCTTACAGCACCCACTTGGAAATATGTAGAAATTCTGTAATAGTGTCTGGATTAATTCCCTTCCTCCCTCACTCATTGTTTCCACATTATGACATCAAGATCATTTTATTCGGGATAAAATATGACTGTAACCACTTCACAAATCAGGCTAACTCAGTTTCAAAAGTCTGAATGATATGTATTTATAAAAAGGGGAAGCAGCCTAGGCAGAAGAGGGAAGTGATCTACATATGACTGTCTCTCAGGAATGGAAAGAACCTCAAGAGGTCTGTGACACTCCTGGACAAAAGCAAGGACCTCTAAACCTGAATCATGAGCTTGATGTTAAAAGATCTCCATTTGAGGACATGCCAGTTTTCCTAGTGATCTGCTTTTGTTACAGTGAAAAGGGTTGGTTGGTTTGTTTTCCTAATGTAAAACTGATACCAGTGTTTTCAAGCCACGTGCCGAGCTACTCTGTGGACAGCTCCTGGTTGGCAGCTCACGGGGCAGTTGTTAGGAGTTTTAGCTGTTTGACACCCCGGATTCCTCTGCTTGTTCTCAAGAACAAAAACTGAATAATTTTTTGAGGCATGAGTAAAAACTTCTGTTTGATGGCTCATCATTAGCTTTTTCAGCAAATGGTGTTTGGTTAAAAAACCAGCCCAATAAGCCATTTGTGGAACTGAAGTGGCATAAAAACTAAGTATCGTTTGTGGATATAAGGAGGTGCATAGGCTTATATATGCATAATATAAACAATGTACATATAGTAGATTACTTCTCTGTCTTCTGTAATACAGATAACCTGACTCTGCCCTGACAGTTAAGTCTCTCTCTTAAGATGGATGCACAATTTTAGATCATGTCTCTGCTTCAGAATTTCTCAAGCAAAGCATCTTGTTGCAGTGGATAGCTTGCTTGCTGAGTATCTTTTCACGGTCAGCTGGCCAAGTGGGAACATGCAGGAAGGACACATCATTCAAACAAAATAAATATATGTCTACAGCAGCTGGGAATGAACAAAACCTTTCAGAGGGTGAGAAGGGCCCCAGGAGAGCTGACTCTGGCAAAGTAAGCAGCAAAAATGCCCTGATACTGTTGCCTTTTTCACCCATCCTTGATTCTGGACATCAAGGTGGCAGCAGCTGCTGCCGCAGGAGAGGGCTTGGGCCTTGTTGTTTCTTTCTTTCTAATTCAATGAGAACTGCAAACTTGGTTTGCAGGACCTCAGGTGTCCCTCTCTGCTCCATCTTCTCTTTGCTTTTCTCATTTCTCTCCAATATATTTCCCTACACACATGTTACCACTAAGACACTTTTCAAACCAATATTTTAATATCTTGACTGCAGTTTAAATGATCACAGTAGCTTAAAAGTGTTTGTTTGTTTCTTAAGAGTATTTCATGAGTAAGTAATCCTATTTAAATCAAAACTCTAGTTGTGTCAGGTTTTATTCCTTTTTCTCTCAAAAAGTCTGGAACACTTACTTGTAAAAGATGTTCATAGGACTCTCTTTCATTTTAGATATAGCAATAGAGCTTGTCAAAAACTGCTGAGTTCCCAAATATCTGATCAGGGCTAGTTATTTTGTCCTGGTAGGACACATAATGCTCTCTTTCCTTTTCTTGTGTGGCTCATAAGAAATGAATGTGGTCCTGAGTAACTGTTACTAAGTGAATGCCTAGCCCTTCCATTGCTCCTCCTCTACAAGAAGGTTTTCTGGTCATTTTGCAGAAGAAGAAAGCACAAGAAGCTGGACCCATGCACTGAACCTCACAGGAAGTCAGACAGAACAAGTTACTCCCATTGTGCTTTGTCCTGAAGCACAGACCCATGGCCCAAACATAACCCTAAAGACAGTCTCTGACCCAAAAAGCCATCAGTCAGCAAAATGGAAGGCGGTATGTAGATGGTCAAGAGCACTGCAAAGGGACAGTCAGGCAATATTAATCGCTATGATAGGCAGTAATGGAATTAGCTCATCAACATAATTATTTGCTTAAAAAACCCCTGTGATATCATGGTAGAGAACAGATGACTTTATGGATGCATGTATCCTTTCCTATTCCTTGGGATGAAATTTGTTCTCTGAGGCTATTCTGGACACTTCACTTCCCACACACCCTCCCACACACCCTCCCCTCCCCCAACTCCCCCAAGGGCTCTGCATTTGCTTTTATTTACTGGCAGAAAGTTCTTGCAAGAATGCATTTCATTTTCACTAATATCCCTGTGAAACCTGTCGCTTGCTTAGATTTAAGAAATGCTTTAGATTCTTGTACTGGGACTGAAATTTGAGTTTCCACTTTCCACTGCTTACCCTGAAGAAGTGATGAGTCAGACCAGATTAAGGAAAAGGTCTGTGTCTGCAGCTTGAGTCTTCCCACGTTACTGAACGATCAGCAACTTATAGTGGTATTTAAAGAGTGCAGCCTGGATCAGGGGGGCCCTGCTTGAGAGGGTAAGAAATGGCGCTCTCCCTGAAGATCAGCAGTCTCAGTGAAGGGAGATGTCTGAGGTCCCTCCACAGATCAGTGGCAGAGCTGTCAGTTGCAGCAAAACCCCCCAAACAATGTAAACATCATGCTTTTATAGTAAATGCTCTAGTTCATTCTTGATTTCAAATGGGGTAAGTACAGTCAGCTCAAATACTTTCCATAACCCTGTTGATTTTACAGAGTAAGAACTTAAAACTGAGATGGTGCCCCAAAGAATTTATAATTTCACAACACAGCACATAAGTGCATTCATTCACTGGAAAAGGGAAGGATAAATAAGCCTGCAGTGAGTTTTGTTTTCAAGGTCAGTGTTGCAGGAGAGTTAGCCATCTGTGCATTTGTTTAATAAAGCTGTTCAGAAACGTTGGTGTTTCAGCCTGTTCAAATTCTGTTTGGAGATTAGTCTGAGCCCTTGGGTTTCTTTAAACAGGGCTCTGATAATTTCTCTGATGCTGGAACAGTTGCATCTGGAACACACAGATGTAGCAGCTGCTTTGAGGAGGTTCTCAAGGTCAGGCTTTGGCTAGGAGGGGATCCCAGAAAATCTGATCACCTTCATTTGTCAGTCACAGG